ACAAACGTCATGGTGTGCCTTCAGTCTTTGTACGATGCCTTGAATCTTTCTTACACTGTTTGCAAGTTGCTCTGCATCCTGACTTATTAGAAGAGGTGGCTTTGATGTAAATCTGCCAAATACTGTCTTCTTTTCCTCCAGCCATTCTTTTCAAACTTACTTATTATTATTACGCAAACACAAAAAATGTAGACACTTTTCAGCATTAGCCTCTCTTGAAATTTTGTGGCGAAATGAATAAGAGGCAAGAAAGGCGACGGCATTTATAGATTACGCCGGGCAACGTGCGAAAACAAGTCGCGGGCCGTTGCAACAAGAATTTTCCCTCGAAAATACGTTCGGACAATTATTGATTCGATTCAACTTAGCTTGAATCTTCTCGGCAACAATTGCGATGACTTTAAACAACTAATTAAGCGGATTTATCAATTGATTTAATAAAAATCAATTTTTGCCCAACACTGGGCATAACCAACAAGAACCGGGAGCTCGTACGAGAACCTATGAGGTGTTAAATTTAAACGCCTTGCATTTGTTGCTTCAGACGACAGCCCTTATGAGACGCACATTGGGGTGATCAACGTGAACTTCCCCCCCAGCGCTGACGACACCGATTCGGACTCCTCCCAACAGAGGCTGCTGGACTCTCCGGAAGGCGAGGCGATTTCTTTGACTTCGAGCGAAGGTGGGCGCTTCGAACAGTCAGAACTAACAACTGTTACGCAACTGTTCTCCGCAGAAACAAGCCGCAATGCCGAAGAGGAGAAGCAGCGCTATCTTGCGTCGTTCGACAAGCTGAATGTAGAGGAGAGCCCCTATGTGGTGAAGGAGCTGCAGACGATATACCCGATGGATAGTCGCTATAATCTCTGCTTGGGCAATCGGCTTGGACAGGGCTTTTACGGCGATGTGTGCAAGGGTGAGTCGGGGTCGGCAATGAAAAGTACTCTTGAGTAGCACTGTTGTGTGCTTCTAGGCTACATAGAGGACACGGAGAATTCGAAAGCGGATCGCGTCGAAGTCGCTGTCAAGAAGCTGAAGCCCTTTGCCCAGAAGCGCTTTAGGGAGGACTTCGAAAGGGAAATTAGCATCATGCATGTACGTCCCAATTGCATTGTACTGGCAACAAATCACGGTTTCGTGCAACTTTAAGGGAACCTTCTGATGTATTCTTGGGCATTTTTCAGACCCTCCGACATCCGAACGTTGTGCAAATATTCAACGTGATCCGGGTGCCCGAAATTCTGCTGGTGATGGAGCTGGTGCCCCATGGATCTCTGCAAAGTTATCTCAACTTCAATAAGGACAACTTGGCTGCTATGAACCTGCTGAAGTTCGCTTGCGACATTGCTAGGGTCAGTTGCTGATGATGCTGATGATGATCGAATGAACTAGAATCGGTTCATTATGGGTTTTAGGGCATGGAATACTTACGGCAGAAGCACATCGTGCATAGGGATTTGGCGGCGCGCAATATCCTGGTGGTGGACCACGACAATGTGAAGATATCCGACTTTGGTCTCGCCCAAGTAGTGGACAGCAATGACTATTATATGCTGCGCACCTTAAACCGAAGTTTACCGATTAAATGGTACGGATTAAATGCTGAATAGGGGTTTAAATGCTGTTTGCACTGTTAACAGGTACGCTCCTGAAAGTTTGACCCACGGCAAATTCTCGACCAAATCGGATGTGTGGTCCTACGGTATCACCGTCTACGAAATCTACCTGTTTGGGAAGGAACCGCCATTTTTGGGCGGCATTAACGATCAGAATAACACCCAGTTGCAAGAGTCGATGATGGCAGCTATAACCAGCGGCGAAAGGTAATTTACAAGTCCTGGCCTGAAATCAAAATTTACGTGCTAGTTTTCGATTGATTAGTTTTCCTACAATTTTGGGGTTTCTGGGAAAATTGCCCGCAGTTTCCACACGAGGCTTCACCTCCTACAAGTGCCATTTAGTGTTCCATCCAGTGGTGAAGAAATGAGTGCTCGAGCCCAATCTGTTCATGAGAAATGAGCGAAAAAGTGGCGAAAAAACATGAAATTTTAGACCAATCTTGCACCTTGCAGAATTTAAGTTTCACTTTTTCTGTGTAAACTGCCGATATTTTGTCACTTTTCTACCGAGCCACGGCCTAGAAACCCGAAAACCCCATTAGTTTCAAGGAATGCCCTCGAAAATAAGAGCCAATTTAATTGTTTGTGGGATTTAAATGTTTTTCCTGTTTTCTTCTGGGCGAGTTCGGCGACGCCAGAATGCACACAGCAGATTTCTCTCTACCTGTCCTTGTCGGTGCAGCCGCACAGCGCAATAAACAAAGCGAGACAAATTGATCGCTCCAGCTGCGTTTCTCTCCCGTCGGAATATGCCTGTTCTTGTCTGCAGCATTGCGTCAAACCGCCAAAGTGTTGCAAGGGCATTGCCAAACTGCCCTGGACCTGATTTTGGTTGCACTTCTAGTATTATTAGGCTGTTTTAGTTGTTTTGAAAAAAAATCAGCGTTCATTATTAAACGGTTTTTTTTATTAAAGAAGCGATTATCACAAGTATGACAATTAAAGACTCACCGTTACAATTAAAATCCAGGAGAAACCAATTCAATAAGAGATACGCTTTCGAGGGCGTTCCTTGAAATTAATGGAGTTTTCGAGTTTTTAGGCCGTCGTTCGGTAGAATTCCTTGTTGACGTT